GAGAGAGAGAGAGAGAGAGAGAGAGAGAGAGAGAGAGAGAGAGAGAGAGAGGAGAGAGGAGAAAGAGAAGGAAAGATAGAGAGGAAAGAAAGAATAAGAGAAGACAGAGAGAGAGAAGAGTGTTAGAGAGACAGAGCAGGAGAAAATGAATGGCTATTGGGAGTACCTGGAGCCATAGGCATGTGGGGAAAGCTGGCCCCACCAACATGTCCCTTAATTCCAAGCACCTGCACCCTTAGAGACTGTTAAGAGGGGACCTCTCTGGTAAGAATATTCTTTCCTTGGGTGATCTGAGATTTTATCTCACTCTTGAGTTGAAAAAACAATTTAATCTTGTATATTCTACCATTTACCCTCATCTGTAGATCTCCCCCAGTTTCTGATTTATGGAGCTCTGGGTTTTGGTTTTTTGTTTTGTTTTTTATAAATTTGTTTGCTTGATCTGTTATCTTTTGTATAACAAGTGTTTGGTAGGAGGGAGCTGAGCTGTCCAAGAATGAGCTAGCTATTACCCACCCAGTGGAGGAGTGGGAATAATTTCCACCTGAGAAAAAGTGTCTTTTATTATGAACCTCTAAAAGGGCATTGTACCCCTAGCATGCAATTTTCTGATGTGTAGAGATATATTCTAGCCCAGTAACCCTCTTAGAGATAGGAAAGTGGAGGAGTGAGTACCCAACCACAGCCCTCCTCCTACTCCATCCAAGGTGAAAACTGTAGTCTCCCTTGGAGACATGGAGTGGGTCATTCCAGATCTTATCTATCTAAATATATCCCCGCAACGTGGGCTGTCCTGGGTCCCTGTAGCCTGGTACCATCTGTCACACTTGGGCCCATCAGGACTCTGTTACCTGGTCTTACACTGAAACATGGCCCTCGTATGTTGCCTGGCCCATGTGTGTTACACAGGTGCACATCATTAATATGCATCCCATGCCTATAACCAGGGTTCAACTCCATTACATAAGTTATTATTATTCCTTCCTCTGCATCTCTTTCTAATGGCCAGCAAAAGGCTCAGCTCCTAGTAAGCATTCAAACACCATGAATCTGTCTTTGCATATACGCACACAAATACACACATGATTCTTCAAAGATTGTGTCCATATTATCAAAGCAACCACAAAGCTAAGAGAGCAACATACGTCGCCCAAGAAGCATGTAGAACTCCACAGGCCAGCAGCAGCAAAGCAGGTTCCTTATTTCTAAAAACTTCTGCAATTCCTGTTCAGCCGCCCATGACCAATGCAGCATGAATCCGTCAAGAGTGGAAGGGAGGAAGGAAGAGAAAAAGCAGGAAATCAACAAAGAGGAAAGGGCAGCCCTGAGCACAAAGATAAGGAGATAAAAATATTGCAAAAGGGAGGACCTTGAGAATGAAGAGATAGGGCAGCATCAGTGTGCAAATGGCCCAAGAGACAAGGACAAATGAATGACAGATAATAGGAGAAAGGCACAAATACGGAAGGAGTCCTAGCTAGGGGTCTAGAACCCTGGGATCCATTAGTAACTTGCTTTTGATGTTGAGTAAGCCAAGTAACTCTGAGTCCTCAGTTTCCTCATCTGCAAAATAAAGGGGCTTGCCTAGATGACTTTTATGCTGTTCTAAATCTATTATTCTAAGAACTTAGGCTACAAGATCCAATCTGGGGACAAAGACTTATTATAAACTTACTATAAAATCTTGCAATATGGAATACCCAAGCCCTGGCTTTATCCAAAGAAGAAAACTGGAAAGACATGCAGCATTTAAGGGAGAGGTAGATGCTCAATTGATGGTGGAAGGTGGGCAGGGGCAAGGGGAAGGGCCTGGCTCACACACCTGCTCACTCAGATTTCGCTGCTCAGCACAGATATCCAGGACACAGTTGCTTGTTTGCTTAGCCAGATCTTCCAGGAAGGAATTGCAGTAGTGAAGGGCATGGTTTTTCAAGTGGGGATACTGAAGAAAGGGATAGAGAGAGGGGAGGTTATCCACCAAGAAAGCCTCTCTCACCCCTCAATGCTACATAGACCCAGGCTTCCAAAGTACCAAAACATCCACCTTTGAGATTAATTTGAGCAGCTTTCTTCTTTATACAGAAAGCGAAACAGAGGCACAGGGAAAACAGATGCCTCCAAATATGTACATACATACATACATACATACACACATATCATATTATTAAAATAAGTCAGTTCAGGACCTAAGTATCCAGATATGTAGTCACTTACTTGGACCCTTCTTGGCTTCAGGAAACCAGCTTTCTCTGTCAGGGATTTGAGGCAAGGGGTTATAGATCACTGATGAGGTAATCAAAGCTCAAAGGAGTTAAGTGACTTGCCCAAAGTCACATAGGTCGTAAGTGGTAGAAACAGAATTTGAACCCATATCTTCGGACTCCAAATCCAGGGCTTTTCCTACCATACCAAGAGCTAGCTTAGTAAGGGGCCCAAAGACCCACCTCCTCTGGACACATCTCGTGGGTACAATTGGCAAAATGGGCACAGATCAAGGGGAAGGCAATGGCATAGCGCAACATGGTAGGCTCCTCCAGGGTCAAAGCAAACATCTTCTCAAAGGTACGGAGATGAAAGCTGTAAAGGAAAGATAGGGACCTTATACTTGGCATTACCCAGTGCCCTCAGCTTGGGAGAGAGCACCCAGGAATACTGACTCTCCATATTTGTGGTATACTATAAAGAACACTGGATTTAGGGTCAAGAACCCTGGGTTTGAAACCCTGCTCTACTGGTCAAGTCCCTTCACTTGTCAGATTGCCTCAGTTTCCTCATCCACATAATGGAGATAATAATGCCTAGATTACCTGCCTCACAGGACTGTTGCATAGATCAAATGAGCTAAAGAAGGTTAAATCACTTTCCACACTATATAGCACGATATATACACAATAACACAACATAATGCACTCTCTGCTGTACTTCTGTTTTTATTATTGTATATAATAGTTAACTGTGTTACTGTCTTCCCTCTTACTAAACTGTAAGTTTCTAGAGGGCAGTGATTATGTCTTACTGAATTTTTTTTTATTTCTCCACACTTCTTAGCACAGTGTTCTGGAGACAGCTGTCCCAACCACTAGTGATTTGTTGTTTTTAGAGTGTTAACTTACTCCCCTTACACAACTTTCTCCTTCCTGTGTCTGAACTCTTGCAGAAACCATTCTCTCAACTTGAAAAATCCTCACATTTGTGAACTCATATCTCTCTCACCTTTCCAAAAGGACATTCCTACCCTTTAGAGAACCTTCCCTGATGAATTCCAGGAAACTTTGATCTCAGGTAGACTCAGAAGTCTGCTTCTTCACTTGCTATCCCCTCCACACTGATATATTTATTATACCCTTGATCCTACAAACATCTGCAGTTACCCACAGATCACCAGGGGATGCTCCTCAGTCTTTTCTACTCCCACCATAATGTAAATTTCTCCCAGGCACACATCTTTTCAAGCCTCCGCAGGCTTCATTGTTGTGCAGTACTCTTTACATAACAGTGAGGGCTTATTGCAGTGCCTGGCACATAGTAGGCACTTTAAAAATGCTAAATGCCAGTATCTCAGAGAAAGTTAGCCCATCTCCCCATCTTCCAGACATTCTACTCTCTAACCTTCTCAGTCATTCCCATTGATTTCTTTTGAATCGCCAAAAGGCATCGATGTCATTTTTTTTAAAATGAGACCACCCAAAGTGGAAAGAACCTGGAAGGGGTTCAGAAGATGGTGAGGAAGAGGATCTTAAAAGGAGAAGAGGATAGAAATATAAATTATCCCAGAGAAACTTTCCCTGATCTCCCTCAATGACCTCATACTCAGGAGCAAACTTCCCCCTAAAATCCCATGGAATCTTTTGTTGTATGTTGTCTGATGTTCTTATATGGCATTATTGTGTAAAACAGTTATGTGTGTCTTACTCCCTACCAACCTGCAAGCTCCCTTTGGACAGACTGTGCCTTATATAAATTTTGTGTTTCTTCCAGCACCTAGCACTGTAATCTGCATACAGTGAGTGCTTAAAAAATGTTTGATGAACAAATGAATGAATGGATTCAAGTGCCCAAAGAACTGTTCTACAGTGAGTGGTGACCAACAGCCCCACATTTCCACTGAGAAAAGAACAAGTAGCAGAAATGTAAATGAAAGGTATCAGGACTAACAGAGATACTGATGGATTCTGAAACTGGTGAGCAAGAAAGGTTAACGCGTCTCGGTCCTAAGAGATCCTATAAAGAAAAGGGTTGTCTTTTGTGAATCTAGGAGGGAGAGTATGTGTTAGATTGAATAACTCATTTTTTTGGTGAGGAGAACAATGAATTTCCTTGTTTTTCCCTTTTTTGGAGAGGAAATTAGATAACCAATAGTTATATAAGGATGCAGGTAGAACAATCAAAAGCCCATCGTGCAATGAGGGGGCTTCCTGATCCAACGAAGGGAGCAAGAATAATAGTTCTACAAGGCCTAATGATAATAATAGCTATTATCATACCTGGATTTAAATCCCACCTCAACTATTCACTGGTTGTGTGACCCCAATGGGCGGTCACATAAGTATAATAATTAACAACTCACCTTAACATAGGATTTGATGTTTGCAAAGCACTTTGCATGCATTTTCTCCCTGAGCCTCACAAAAACCATAAACTAGCTCTTACCTCCATTTTACAGGTGAAGAAGGTCAAGGCTCAGGAAAGTTAATGTGACTTGCCTATGGTCACAGAGCAAATAAATATTTGGGGTGGAATTTAAAACCAGATCTCTCTCGACTTCAAGTTTAAGGTTCCTTTTCCCACACCACACTGAGCACTCAAAAAAGAAAAGAAAAAATATTCCTATTTTGCTGGGACCAGTATAGTCCTACCAGCAGAACAGAGGGAATGACCCAAGGGCTGGATTTAACATTCTGGCTCTGAGCATACCAAAAGATGGAGAGATCAGAGGTCTCCATCAGTATCTCCTCCACCGAGTCCAGCATTCGAGAGTGGAAAACTATGAGGTTCATCACTTTGGCCAAGTCAGGGTTCTCATACAGGTGCAGGGGGGCCTTGTTCACACTGGTGTATGCCTGTCATGGAGAGCGGGGAAAGAGAAAATAGCCCTCAGGATTATCAAGGCTAGGGACAGCCAGTCTAGACATAGTTCTAGCCTAAGCCCTCTTCTCTTCTTCTGACACATTCTCCACATTCTCTTGGTGACCTCATTGGCTCCCATAGGTTTAGCTAACATTTGCATGCTGATGACTCACACATGACATACATATATAACTTAAGCTAATAAAGCTTAAAACTGTCCTAAGATTTTTGGGGATATTTTATATATATATATATGTAAATACATGTATATACATGTGTGTGCATAAATATATATACATATACCTATATTATATAATACATATATTGTGTATACATACATATCTACAGATATATACCTACATATATGCATATTCATATATACCTACATACATATGTGCATATATATATACAATATACACAAATATACATATGCACACATATACAATACACATACACATATATACACATACATATACACATACACATACATAAAATGTATCCACCCCCAGTCTCTACCAAGTACCAGTCCCACATCACCAGTTGCCTGGTGGACCTGTCAAGCTGAATGTATGAGAGACACCTCAAATTTTCTCTATTGAAGGTACCACCAGCCTTCCAGTTTCCCAGGCTCGTCCTCAGCATTATCCTGGACTGTTTACTCTCCTTCACCCCACATATCCAATCACTTGCCAAATCTTCTTGTTCCTACCTTCACCATATCTCTCGTCTCTAACCCCTTCTCTCCACTCACATGGCTACCACCTTAGTTGAGGCTGTCATTGCCTCTTGCCTAGATAATTGTGACAGCATCCTAATTGATCTCCCTGCCTCAAGTCTCTCATCACTCTAATCCATCCTACACACAGCTGCCAAAATAATTTTCTTTAAGCACAGATCTGACCATGTGACTCCCCCACTCAATCAACTCCAGTGGCTTCCTATTGCCTCTAGGATAAAAACGTAAACTCCTTTGTTCAGCTTTTAGAGCCCTACAGAAGCTGGCCCCAATCTGTCTTTCCAATCTCATTGGATATTACTCCCCCTCCCACATTCAGCAATAGGCCAAATTGGCCTTCTCTCTGTTCCTTACATGCAACACTCCAACACCCATCTCCTTTACTTTGCATTGACCATCGCACTTGCCTGGAATGTGCTACCGCCTCACCTCTGACTCATACAAACAGTCCCTCCTCTCTTCGGTTAAGACCGAGCTCAAGTACCACCTTCTACTTGAAGCCTTTCCTGATGCCCCTAACTCCTAAAATATCTTGTACTTAAATATGTGTTTTTAGATATATAAATATATATATACACACATATATATAAAGCACACATATAAAATGTATATACACATATATTTTTCATTTTATATTTATGCCATGTTTATATTTATATACATAATTGTCTCCTCCATTAGAATGCAAATTTCTTTGAAGTGGGAATTGTGCCTGGAACATCACAGGGCTGTTAATTAATGCCTACTGATTCATTCATCAAGGTTGGGATGCAGAGTCAGGAGAACAGGGAGAAACTGTGGTGAGTGGTTGGGTAGGGGAGGAGGGGAAGAGACACTAGGGAAAGCACATTCCCATTACCTGTAGTCGGAACCAGTCCAACCTCAGTCCAGAAAAATCAAACTTTTCTCCAGAATCAACTGTGAAGAAAGAAAGAGAAGTTTGAATAGCATCCCAGTAACCAAGATTCCCTAGAATGCTATGTGTTCTGTCCCTATCTCCCCTATCTTAATAGACTAAGATCTCCAGAGACAGTCTCCCCTCCTTCCTCAGTCTGCTGCCCTCACCTCCCTCCAGTTACCTTGTTTGAGGTTAAGAGAGGAGAGAGTGCTGACAAAGGAGGACATGATGATGGATTCCTCTTCTGGGCAGACTGACAAGTTCTGTTAGAAGAGTAAGTAGAGAGGAGGGTGAGATGGGCACAGAGACCCCATTAGAGAAGTGAAGGTTCACAAGGCTCAGCTGATACTGTTACAACAGGAAGAATTTATCATGTGGGAGAGGCAGGGTCGGAGAGGGTTTGAGGAATAGGGATAAAGGAAGAACTACTCTACACGACTCAAAGACAACTTTCTTGGATTCCCCCTACCCTCCTAATGCCCTAACAGCCTCCTTCTAGACATCTGCTTCCTGTTTTGGTGCAGTCTCAGTCTTATTTGTAGCATCCAAGGAGGAAAAAAAGTCAGTGACTCTCATCTCCTTTTTGTTGTTGTTGAATCGTTTTTTTGTTTTGTTTTTTCCAGCTGTGACTGACTCCTCGTGACCCTCTTTGGGGTTTTCTTAGAAAAGATACTGACATTTCCTTCTCCGGTTCATTTTACAGATGAGGAAACTGAGGCAAACAGGGTTAAATTACTTGCCCAGGTTCATACAGTTAATAAGTGTCTGAGGCTGGATTTGAACTCAGAAAGATGAGTCTTCCTGATTCCAGGCCCAGCACGCTATCCACTATGCTATCCAGCTGCCCATCTCCTTTTTACACAGGAGGAAATGGATGAGGCAGTTTGTCCCTCTAAGCTGCCTTGCATGGATGATTCAGAACAGGGATTCCCTCATGGTCAACAGGACATACCTGGATGATGTCACTGAGCACAAGAGCATCAAACCTGGCAAGGTACTGCAGGTGATAGCACTGGATGACTTTGATATGCCTCTGGATCAGACCTCTCACTTTCTCCAGCAAGAAAAGCAGTTCTGCAATATGCCTGGAGATGGATATAGGATTAGGAAGCAAAGTGAGGAGATGAGAGGGAGGGAGAGACAGAGACAGAAAGACAGAGAGAGAATTCAGACTTTCCAAGGACATCTGAGTCTCATCTATAAAATGAAGGCCTTGGATTATTGAAAGGGCATTGAATCTGGAGTCGGCGGACCTGATTCAAGAAATCTCCCATCACTGTATCATCTGGAGCAAGTCACTTACCCTCTCTCTGGGCTTTTGTTCTATAAGGTGCAGGGTTTGAAAGATCTCTAAGATCCCTTCTGGCTCTAAATCTACACTCCTGTGATCCTCCCAGCTCCAACCATACGGTCACATGCTCTGTCCTCCCTGCCCCCTGCCCAGTCCTGACAGCCAAGAGCTTCAGCCGTACTAAGCACTTTGAAGGGAAAGAGTTGGCCCAAGCTTTCCTTTTTTCCCTGTCAAGAAGCCCTTGCTCAGGAACTCACGGGTCAGCATAGTCTTCCGGGGTCTTCGTCTTGGTGACATTTTCTGCGTGGCGAATCAACCAGTTGACCTCATCCCGGATAAAGGATAGAGCCAAGAAGGCCAAGAGGGCCTGGCAAGAGGGCAGAGGCAGTATAAGTTTTTGAACTGCAAAGTGATTCCTGAAGCATACACACAACTCTCACCATAGCACATACAAAGACAACTTCACATGACAACAAGAGTGTTCGAAACACTTTAGTTTTAAGCTTTAATAACTTAAAGGTCACACTCCAACTTCTGGTTGGTATGTTTACAGCAAATGTCAATTCCTAAACTGGGCCTCATCACCAGGCTCTTAGAATCACAGGTTTAGAGGACCATGAAAGGCATCTAGTCCAACCCCTCTACCTTTACCCCTGACCCTCCCTGATATTTCTACAGCTTGCCTTGGGGCCCAGGAGTCCTGGTTCATCCATTAACACAGTCTCCAGCTCCTTCACTGCAATCCTCAAAAACTGTCGGCGCTGGCAATGAAATTGGCCACTGTGAAGAAGAAAAAAAGGAGTAAAGAGAGGGACTCTTGCCTCTACCCAGGCAAAATTTGGGAGGGATGAAGGGCAAAAAGGTGGGGTGGGGGAAGAAGAGGAGTAAACAAGAGGTGAGGATTATAATAATCCTTTGTGTTATAGCAGGCCTGAACAACCTGCGGCCCACGGGCCACTTGCAGCATGCCAAAGGATTTCGGGCGGCCCACAAAAAATATAGAAGAAATGTAGAGGAAAATGTAGCAGAAATCTTTTGGCAGGCCATAGCTTGTACGCACCTGTGTTATAGGTTACAACGTTCTTTTCTTTATCTCATTTGAAATTAACAATTAAGTGACATAATAGAGAAAAACACCTTGCAAAATCCTAAAGTACCTTATAATGTTAGGAATTAATAATAATAATAATGATAATAACAATAATAACCTTATGAGGTACATAAAGGAGATATTATTTTTCCTGTTTTATAAATGAGGAAAATAAAGTTACAAAATTTGCTTACACTAAATGACATTCAAAACTTGAACCTAGACCTTCTGACTTTAAATTGAGTGTGTTTTCCAGGGCACTACACTGACTCTCAGAGAAAAGGAGGGACTTGTGGGTAGTAAGTGCAAGCAGCACATTGGTCAGATTAAGGAGTGTGAGAGAAAAGGAACGGGGGTGAGGCAACGAGGAAGGGGAGCATAAGAGAGCATGGGGATATTTCATACCCACCTAGGGATACCTCCTACCTGTTATTCACCACATACTCTTTGCTTTCCTTTATATCTGTCACTCGTTTGCCATACCTGGGTATTGACATAAGCACAACAGAGTTGGGGAGTCACTGGGGCCTGTCTTTCTGTGTAGACCCTATGTAATCTCACTGTATGCCTAACCCACAGCAGCAGCCCATTCCAGATTGGGAAAGGGCATGTGCCACCCTCCCAGCTCAACTCTTCCCTTCCAAGACCCCAGCTTCAGAAGACTCTTTCTTTCCTATGTCTGGCTCTCTCCTATGTCTGGTTCTCAGCCTGGGCTCCCTTACCAATACTTATGTTCCTATTGTCTGCTTTCTGTCTAGTCTAGATTAGTTTTCCCCTTATACAAGGAACCTGAGAAAGAGGGAGTCTAGGTTAGTCATGTAAAAAATGTTAAAATTAGAAACTAGATAACTATAGTGAAAAATAACTGAATTCTCTTTGTTTTCTGGGTCCTGTTACTAAGATACAGCAAACTCTTTTGCCATGGAACCATTCCAGAACGCTGCTGAAAACAGGATCCTTCAAAGTCATCCTGCTCTTCCACTCACTCTAACAGCCTTTTGTCAAACACTTCTTTTAATGGACTCCTGCTTGGCTTCCTCCTCCAAGAAGACCTCCCATATTAACACTGTCCATCCACCAACCCAGTAACACCATGACTGATCCAGTCTTCCCCCTGAATGTTGTTTCATTAATTGTCTAGGTTTCTGATCTCCCTAAAAAAAAAACCTTTGTTTATACACACACACACACACATAAACACAAACACACATTTGAATCTTAGCATTAAAGGATCGTAGAGCAGGAAAAGAATTGGTATAAACTGTAAATATCTGTAATGTAAAAACAAAACATATAATGAGACTTTAAAAAAAAAATTATCTAGTTCAACTCCCATCATTCTACAGATGGAGAGAAAAACCAAAGCCGTTGACTTTGCCAAGATCACACAGCTAACTTCTAGCAGAGCGAGGACCAATACTTAGCTTTTCTGTCTTCTCAAATTCTCTGCTCTTTCAACCGCATTATGTACCCTTCCTTTTAGACCAGAAATTCCTCAAAAGCAAGGATTTGGTTTGCCCTTTATATGTCTGTTCTTTAAGACACATTCTAAGCCCCTGGAACATTGCTCTGTGTTCCTTGGCATTGACACAAACTCGCTGACTGATTCAGAATGAGAAAAGAAGGAAGAGACCCCAAAGGATGCTAGAGCAGCTCTTGGAAACCTCACCCTTTCAAACTGCCAAACAGGTCTTCAGTGACCTTGTGCACCTGAAGTACTTCCTCTCGGATGAGGGTGATGTACAAGGAGCCCTGAAGGCCCAGCTTCCACAGTTTCTGGCATTGGGGGTTGGCATTAAGGCACCCATGGCACAAGAGGAACCCTACTGCAAGTGGGGAGGAGAGCAGAGAGAAGGAAGTTCAGAGGTTAGAGCCCTTGGGTTTCACTGTTTTGTCATCAAACCTCCTTCGGCCCCATTCCCGGAACACTTACTAAGGATCCAACGTTCCATCACCTCCAAGGAGAGATATTCACAAGCCATCTGAGGGAAAGAGAGGGACAGAGGTCAATCAGTCATTCAGCTTGTCTGTCCCCTGGAGGAGAAGGGCAGCCCAGGAAGAAGAGGAGGTGGGTGAAGGACAAACAAGGAATCTCACTACTGATAAGAGTCACAGATGAGGCCACATGTATTAAGATAAGACTCAATTTACCATTTAACTGAGTGAACCAGGCCACAATGGGCAGACCTAACTGGGTGAAAGCAACCATAACAGGGGTTGGGGAGATTGGAGGAAGAGGCACAAATAGAAAAGGGAAGAGAAATAGAGGCACAATAGATAAAAGATTTGCCTTCTACAAGTTATATCAATATCTCAGGCATTATCAGAAACAAAGAGTAGACCACTGGGAGGTAGGACTGAAGCTTCTACTGACCAACCCAGATCATACTGATCCCTCCATCCTCCTTTTCTGTTCAGTGTCCACATCACTCATCTGGTACCTATTTTATGCTGCCTTGTAATATGAATTATTTTTGTACATCATGTTTCCCTAACTAGACTGCCATTCTCTGAGGACAGAGATTAACTTTTTCTTCTTTGTTTCTCTTCTCCCTCCCCACTCAGCCTCCTGACCCAAAATAAATACTCACTTACTATTCATAGAACAAATGATATGTTTAGGAGTTTGGACTTTATTCTGTAGGTGATGGGAAGCTATTAAAGATGTCTGAGGAGGGTAGTAGCGTGATCAGAACCGTGCCTTAGGAATCTTTACTCTTACAGCAACATATAGAATGAATTGGAACAGGGAGATAAAGAAGCTATTTGAGTTAGGTTTTAGTGAGAGCCATAGCTATAGGTTTGGAAGTTATCCATAAAGGGGATAACTGGCATTGTGGGAGTGGATGAATGGAGAAGGGAGAAATTATCAAGAGAAAGGAAAAGTGCTTTGGGGAATGTCTAAGATAAAAGGAAGCTTCAAAGACAGCCTTATGCTGCCAAATAGATGCTCAAAATATACCAGTTGATTAATTGGAGGCCTTGATTGAATACCCTGCTGGTGCCTCAGTTTTCCCTCTACTTATTCATTCAATAAATATTAATGAATGCCTACAATGTATGAAACAAACACAAATTCCTACACCTACCCCAATCTCCAAACCAATCCACAAATATCCACCAGGCAAGAAATTCTGATTTGTCCCTTTCAGGTAATTCAGAGACAATGCTCAATTCTCCTGGTGCTCCAGGACATCCTGGGAATGAAAAAACCACCCTTCCCCAGAACTGTCCTTAGCTATAATCGCAGCCTGCCAGGGGAGGGAACTGACCGTGTCTGAGCTGGCAGGGTTGATCATGGTTGGGGGGGCACTAATGAGGCTCAGAAGCTGGGCACTCCGCCACTGCTCAGCACCCTGGTTCCTTCGAGTAAAGAGGAAGTACAGGGAGAGGAGGGCCCCACTCACAGCCTGTGGAGAGAGACAAAGAGAACCCTAGAATGAAGGTACAGTAAGGGGGTGAGTAAACTGAATTCTGATGATTTTTCCCCTGCCCCAGAGGCTTGCCTTTGTGTGGGGGCCAAACTCCTCTGTCAGTTTCTTCAGGGGATGATCATATTCCAAAACCATCTGGCCCAGACGAGCAAAGCTAGGGTCACTGGGAAAAGAGTTTGAGAATATTATAGGCCTTCCTTTTACTTACCTGCTCATCCACGAGGGGCCCCTGGGAAGAGAGGGTCCTGGAAGGCATGTCTTAGTCACTGAGAATTTTTTTTTCAATTTGGCTAGAATAGATTTATTTCATCTGTCTGTAAACAAGGTGTTTTAATAATTATGGCATTTTTTTTGAAATGCATGTTAAATCAGATGACTTATACTGTATCCCAGATGTGACTAAATACAGGAAAAGGAATGGACAAGAATTTAGAGATAGAGAGGATCATAGGATCATACATCTAGGGCCAAAAGGGACCTCCAATGTCACTGAGATCAACTCCATCCTTTTACAGATGAAAAAACTGAGGCCCAGAGAGGTGAAGTCACTTGTCCAAGGAAGTAAGCAACAGAGGCAATATTTTAATCCAAGGTCTCTGATGCCCAATCCAAAATTCTCTCCACTCACTTCTTTAACTGCTTTATTTAGAATCATAGTTCAAGAGCTAGAAGAGACCTCAAAGGACTTTAGTCAAAGTCCCTCATTATACAGATGAGGAAACTGAGGCCAATAGGGGTTAAATGACTTGTCCAAGGTCACACAGAGAGTGAATATCAGAGCTGGGACTTGAACCAAGATTATTTGACATCAAATCCTGAAATTTTTCCACCACTGCAACCCTCATATGTACACACAGAATCAATAGGCAAGAATCCCACTTTACCCCCTCCCCAAGAGATGTATTAAGCCCACAGACTACACATCCACACAGATATCCCAGGTCATGTATGTTATGCTCTGTATAAAAACAAAAAACCCCATATATGGAAGCCCATAAACTTTCCTCCCTTGATTGTGTGCTAAAACAAGAAGCCCACTGCTGAAAACATGAGAGGCCCTCAACCAGTACCTAGACTCATAGAACGCCCAAATTGGAAGGGACCTTAAGGCAAGCCCTACTTGAGGCATGAATCCCCTCTAGACCATTCATGACAAGTGGTCCCCTAGCTTCTTCTGGAATACCACCAGAGATTAGGGACTCAGCTGATGGAATCAAAAGTCAAGCAATGGACATGGCCCCCAAATGAATGCACACCAGTGTCCTAAGGGGAATACGTACCCATACACTAGGCCCATCTATAAATATGCATGCATATGGCAACCTGTTAGCACACACACATGCATGAGAGCTTTGATTATTTCCCCATCCTACATGGTGCAGTGGAAAGAGAGCAGCATTTGGTGCCAAAATACCAGGCTCTGCATCCTCACTCTACCACCAACTAACCAATGTGACTTTGAGCAAGTGACTTCATCTTCCCAGTATTAGTTTCCTTGTCTATAAAACAGGGAAGTTAGTCTAGAGAAGAGATTTTGAGTATTTGGCCTGCTGGCCTCATGAGGGCTACAACACTCAAAGTGCAGACTATTAAAATACTGCTATTCAGTCCATTTAGAATTTTCTTGGCGTGATTTGCCATTTCTCCAGCTCATTTTACTGATGGGGAAATTGAGGGAAACAGGGTTCAGTGACTGACCCAGGGTCACACAGCTAGTAAGTGTCTGAGGACAGATTTGAACTCAGGAAGATGAGTCTTCCTGACACCAGGCCCAGCATGGACATCCACTGCTCCACCTAGTTGCCCCTAGATTAAAATGTAATTGGGGAATATTTAACAAAATAAATAAAAATGCAATAAAATATAGATAATATTAACACATGGTTTTCTAAATCAATATGCAACCCTCAGGGGTCATTATGTACAGTTTAGTGGTCCCCATTTCTATTTGAATTTGATATCACTGGACTAGATGAACTTTAAAGTCCCCTCCAGCTCTAAATCTATGATCCTAAAATCCCATGATACCTCAGCCTTCAAGTACTCAAGTTGAACTCGGATTGTCAAGTTTAAATATATGTACTAATGGAGCTGGAAAGGCTGTACCTAATACACAGATCATTTAGGTTTTGCTTGGAATGAATTATAATAAATGTCATTTCTCACAGCGTTATTTTCTTGATTTTCTTTCTACTCATATTAAGCACAGTAAGATTGCATTTCCTTTGCAATTCCCTACAGTGGGGCCCAGATGAGCACAAGGAGGCAGGGTGGGGGCAGAAGCCAGACCAATATTAAAAATGTACCATGTGCAATGCAAAGGGAAAAGTTGATATTCATGAGTTGGCTCTATGTTCATCTGCACCTGGCTCATGGGAAACTCAAGTTGTTTTCATTTCTAGGAGTTATGTCTCTCTATCTGGACCATAAACTCCCAGAAGTCAAGGAGCACCTCTTCTATCCTCTCTGTAGCCAACCCTTATCTCAAAGCCCCGAGTATAGGGCTCTTGGAACAGTGGTTTCCCTTGACCCACCTGTGCCCCTGCGTCATCTCAAAGGCACAGTTATACATGCCAATGAGAACCCTCCGGTCCTCAATCCGTGACAGCAGCAAGATCACTGAGGTGTAGGTCACAATCAGATCCAGGTAGCTCCTGGTGAAGTCAAAGTTGAGGTTCTACAAAGGAAGAAGCGGGGGAGGGCTACAGATCAGACAGTCCATTAATCTGGACCTTCCCACTCCCCACCTTCTACCAGATACTACTTGAGTTGATGGATTTAATTGGTGAGCCTTCCCAGGGGGGGTCAACCCATATGAACCAGGAGAAGGTAGAAGGAAAGCAGAGACTATGGAGAATAGGAAGGGAAACAGGTGGCGGTGGGGAGAGGGACCATAGAACCAGGAGAAAGGACTAAAAGAAGGCATAGGATAGAAAAAAGAACGAAAGGAGTAAGAAAACACTCAAAGAGCAAGGGAGGTTTCAGTACTTGTTTACATTAAATAAATTCCATCAAAGGCATGCTTAACTTGTAACTATATGTTAAATAGTCATCATCTTGGGTCCTTTCGGTAATAGAATTATAGTCTCAGGAAAATACAAACCAAGATAGACATTCCCCTAATCCCATTAGAGTCCCCAGTGCCCTGCTCAAAGTAAGCACTAAATATTCATAGGATCACAAAATTAGAGATGGAAGGAACCTCCAAAGACATTTAGTCCAACTCTCTCCTTCTACAAATGAAGGAACTGAGATCCAGGGAGATTCAAAGTCTTACCCAAAGTCACACAGGTAACATCAAAGATACAATTTGAACCCAGGTCCTCTCTCTCCAAAGTGAATGCTTTTCCCCCGTCCCATGCTATCTCTCCCAATGCCCATTGAGTGGCTTCATTTAATTCCCAGTACCCTTTCCCTAAACCATCTTGCCTCCCCCAACCCTCCTGCTGGGTGACCTTTCTCACGGCCATCCCATGGATAGAGGGGCAGGGGAGAAGGATGCAGGGGGCCTTACAATGTCGAAATGGCACTGGCAAGCATCAATGGTGTTGAGGAGCTCGTATACATGATCCTGAGGAGAGAAGTCAAGACAGAAGCAGATGTAAGGTGGGGATATGTGGAAAAGAAAATGCTCTAACTTGAATTTGTGGGAAAGAGACCTTTGGCTCCAAGAAGGAGATGGCAAAGTGGAGGCGAGAAGGTAGGTGCTAATCATGACTTAAAAGTTTCCTATCATGCCTCAAACTCCAGAAGAAGTGGGGTATATAAAGCAAAGGACACTCCCCAAAAGGCAGTTATGACTGGTTCTAGCTAACATTTCTTACTGAAAAAAACAGTGGACTGAACCCAGGCAGCCTCCCCTATAGGGCTCTTAACCCGAGGTCCATGAAATTGTTTTTTGTTTCAATGTTTTGATAACTGTATTTCAGTACTATTAATTTCCCTTGTATTTAATTTTTTGCATTTAAAAGCATTCTTCTGTGAAGGGGTCCATAGGCTTCACCAGACTGGCAGAGAGGCTCATGAAACAAAAATTGTTAAGGACCCCTACCCTAAAATGCTATCTCCTTGAAAGAAAACAAGTACTGAAAAATAATGCCACCATAGGCATTATTGTAAATACTCTGTACTCAACTGGGGGGGGGAGGGAAATGTGGCCTATAAATGACTGGAGTGCTTTATATTCTAACATTAGCTTTTCCAAAACGTGACCAGAATATACCTTGGTGCTAGATATTGTCCCCTTATTGCAAGTAAAATTAAAGTGAATTCTTAAAATCATATTTTTGGATACAGTTGATCTAACTCTCTAATGAGTTTATCATGTACTATTATATTTTGATAACAATTTATACTACTAGACTAGAAACCCCATGAAGGCAGGGACCAGGTCTTATCTAAGCTTTTTATCTCCCCAATGCCCTGCAGTAGTCTACACATAATAAATACATGTTTGATAAATGACAGTTGCATTGTATTATATTAGGAAAGATTACTCAAGGCATTCAAGTCAGTTTCTTTGTTGGCAGGCCACACTCACCTATCACTCTCTGCCCCCCACCCCAAAAGTTATGCCTATTGGCCCACATGCCATTAAGCAAATGCCAGATTGCCTTTGGAGAAAGTCCAATCCTTGAACCAAGCCAACTTCCCTAAAGTAAATCCCTTTTTAGATACTACCTAAGGGCCTCAGTCTCAGAATCAAAGAAGTTTAGCGTTAAGAAGGGATAACAGCAATCCTCTCACCTTTTTTCAATCCCTCTTTATTCCAGTGCCTTCCCTCTGCTAATTATTTCTTGATTGTTCTGTATATAGCTTGCTTTGTATATATTTGTTTGTACATTGTCTCCCCCATTAGATTGTAAGCTCCTTGAGGGCAGGAACTGTCTTTTGCTTCATTTTGTATCCTCATACTTAGCAGTGTCTGGCACATAGTGAACACTTAATAAATGTTTATTGATTGGTTGATTGATCCAACCCTTTTATTTTAAAAATATGAACTATGGGAACATATGAGAAACTGAGCTCCATAATGGTCAAGGTACTTGGCCAAGATGAAGTACAGATGAAATTAAAGTGAACTGGCAAAATCACATATTTGATATGATGGATAGAACGCTTCAACATAGCTATTGTGTAATATTATGCCTTAGAGTTATCTGCATTGTGTCCAATGGCTGAGGCTCATGACTCCCTTCTGTCCTGTAAATGTTCTCAATTCAAGTCTCCAATCAGGAGAACCTGTCCCTTTTCCAGTATTATCTATCTCCTTTGATAAGCTTCCTGTCCTTCTACCTCCCTTGTCATCCAGTTCTCTAGGAGTTCCCTGCTTAAGTTCCTAGGGAAGATAACTTGAAGCCATGCTTCCTGACCACATCACCTTTTAAACAAACCTCCTAATTCCACTACCAATGGTTTTGATTGTTAAAATGAGGATGGACTTAATCTCAAACACATTAGATTAACAACCTTCTGGGAAAGGGAATGGATTTCATAGGGTCCCTACCTGGTATCACATGGCTAGGACAGAATTAAAGGCTGCTCACCCGAAATTCCATGACATCCACAAATGACTGGTAATAGCTGGTGAGGAATCTGACAATCTCTGCTTTATCCCGGTGAACAGGTCCTAGGTGTTGCTGGGAAGAACACAAAACAGGACAAAAAACACAAGAGGAAGAAGAATTGGGCTCAACTAACAGCCAGAAGGATTTGGGTTAGACATGAAAAACTTCCTAATAGATGTTAATATATGACTAAGGGAAATATGGTCCTCTTTGGAGAACTCTGCACAGAGGAAATAGCCTGAGAGTCTCAGTGTGGTCCTGCCTAGACTCAGAAGGCTACATGAAATAACTGTTCTTCCAAAGCCCCTTTCCACTGCAGAAGTCAATGATTCTTTGGCCACACCAGGAAATTTAGATGTTAATAGAGTTAGATATTAAATGATTTAGAAGACATAAAATAGAATAAAAAGTGCGAAATCTGGGGCTGAAGTAGATGGATATTATAATAGACACATGCTTTTAAGAAAAAGTGAGCAAGGACTCATTGGGTGGGAAAAGAAGAAAGATGAGAACTTGGAAAAGCATTGGCTTTGGGGGAAGAAAGGATAATAACACATATATAGTGTTTTTCTTAAACAAAGTGCTTTCTGTATAACAGATTACACAGTGTATAGAGCTCTGAGCTTGGGGTCAGGAAAACCTGAGTTCAAATCCAGCCTCAGATATTTGTTTGCTACGTGACCCTGGGCAAATCACTTAACCTCTGTTTGCCTCAGTTACCTCAACTGTAAAGAAGTGGGCACCTACCTCCCAAGGTTGTTGTGAGGATCAAATGAGATATTTGTTAAGTACTTAGCATAGTGCCTAGCACATAATAGGCACTATATAAATGTAAGCTACTATTATCATCATTATCATCAACCCTATGAGATAAGTAATACAAGTATTCATAAATCTATTTTACAGATGAATAAACTGAGATTCAGAGAGATTAAAGCCACTTGCAAAGGGAAGAGCCAAGATGGTAGAGAAAAGACAGGAACTTGCTTGAGCTCTCCCCAGAACCCCACCAAACAATTTTAAATAATGTCTCAAAACAAATAATAAACAAATAAACAAAATAATGTTTAAATAATGTCTCAAAACAAATTATGGAGGAGCAGAATCCACAAAAGGACAAGTCAAGACAACTCAGAAAGTAAGCAGGAAAGGTCTGTTGTACCAGAGTGAAAGTAGAGGCCCCACACCAGCAAACCAGCAGTAGGCCTTGGGGGCGACTGAATCAGGAAGAGGGCAGTTGCCTGACCTCTCAGCCCACAGACGGTAAGGGGGTCAGACAACTGGTCAAAAGGAGATTACAGGAGTCCCTCTGCAGGCACCTAGGGCAAGACTCTATTGCACTGCCCATATGTGAATCTGGGTCACAGTTCCTGGTCTCAGTCTCAGGGCAAGGAGGTACATTAGCACACCAGGGACTTGCAACCACAAAGGTGATAGGACCCTGGTCACAGTTACAGAGTAGAAAAGAGTGCTTGTGGTCACTCACAGACCAGCACATAGGCTAGGAGAGTAGTAAACACCTCTTCCTAAATAATAACACCTTGGAAAAATTGAAAACTTACACGTCCCCAGAATTATCTCTGAAAATAGCTGCACAAAAAATCTGAAGCTTGGGATGATGCCCCCTCCACTCAAAGCAGAACCCCACTTTAGCATAGAGTTAAAAGTCAAGAAATAGGCCAGGAAAATGAGCAAATAGCAGAAAAAAGATCCTGACGAGACAAAGTTACTATGGTAACAGGGAAGATCAAAACACAAACTCAGAAGAAAACAAAATCAAAACTTGTGCATCAAAAGCCTCAAGGGAAAATATTAGTTGGTCTCAGGCCATGGAAGAACTCAAAAAAGATTTTTAAAATCAAATAAGAGAGGTCGAGGGAAAAAAATGGGAAGAGAAATGAGACTGATGCAAGAAAATCATGAAAAAGAGTAAGCAGTTTGGTAAAGGAGGCACAAAAGGTACTGAAGAAGGGGCAGCTAGGTGGCGCAGTGGATAGAGCACTGGCTCTGAAGTCAGGAGGACCTGAGTTCAAATCTTCCCTCAGACCAAACACTTGACACTTATTAGCTGTGTGACACTGGGCAAGTCACTTAACCCCAATTGCCAAAAAAAAAAAGTACTGAAGAAAAATAACACCTTAAAAAACAGAATAGCCCAAATAGTAAAAGAGGCACAAAAATCCAATAAAGAGAAGAACGACTTGAAAGCCAAATTGACCAAATAGAAAAAGTTATACAAAAATTCACTGAAGAAAAGAACTCCTTAAAAAGTAGAATTGGCCAAATGGAAAAGGAGGTACAAAAGCTCACTGAAGAAAATAATTCCTTAAAAATTAGAATTAAGCAAGTGGAGCTAATGACTTTATGAGACATCAAGAAACAATAAAACAAAATCAAAAGAATGAAGAAACGGAAAAAAATGTGAAATATCTCACTAGAAAAAAAAAACAATTGACCTGGAAAATAGATCCAGGAAAGATAGTTTAAGAATTATTGGACTACCTAAAAGTGATGATCAAAAAAGGAACCTAGCCATCATCTTTTGAGAAATTATCAAGGAAAGCTGTCCTGATATTCTAGAACCAGAGGGTAAAATGGAAGTTTAAAGAATCCACTGATAACCTCCTGAGAAAGATTCCAAAAGGAAAACCCCCCAGGAATATTATAGCTCCTAGGTCAAGGAGAAAATATTGCAAGCAAGCCAAAAAGAAACAATTCAAATATCATGGAGTCACAGTCAGGATATCACAAGATTTAGCAGATTCTACATTAAAGGATCAGAAGAATATGATATTCCAAAGGACAAAAGAGCCCTAGGATTACAACCAAGAATCACCTCCTCAGCAAAACTGAGTGTAATCCTTCAGGGAGAAAAACAGCTATTCAATGAAATAGAGGACTTTGAAGCATTCCTGATGAAAAGACCAGAGCTAAATAAAAAATTTGGTTTTCAAATACAAGGCTCAGAGAAGCATAAAAAGGTAAAAGAGAAATCATAAGGGATTCAATAAAATTACATTGTTTACATTCCTACTTGAGAAAATGATACTTGCAACTCCTAAATTCTTTTACATTATTATGGCAGTTAGAAGGAGTATACATAGACAGAGGACACAGGTGTGAGTTGAATATTATGGAATAATTATCTAAAAAATAAAAAATTAAAGGATGAGAAAGAGGAGTGCACTGGAAGAACAGGAAAGGGAGAGACAGAATGGGGCAAATTATCTGACATAAAAGAGACATGAAAGAGCTTTTACAGTGGAGAGGAAGATGGGGGGAAATGGGAAGAGGAACACAAACATCTTCCTCTCATTGGAATAGGCTCAAAAAAGGAATAACATACATACTCAGTTGAGTATAGAAATCTATCTTACCCTACAAGAAAGTAGGAGGGGAAAGTGATAAGAGAAGAGGTTGGGGGTGGGGGTTTTAGAAAGGAGGGTGGACTAGGGGAGGTAAAAGTCAGAAGCAAAACACTTTTGAGAATGGACAGGGTAAAAGAAGAGAGAGTAGGATAAACAAGGAGGAAATAGGATGGAAGAAAATACATAGTAATCATAACTGTGAAAAAAATTTACAGCAAGTTTCTCTGATACAAAGACCTCATTTCTCAAATATGTAGAGAACTGAATCAAATTTATAGAAATAAGAGCCATTCCTCAGTTGCTAAATGGTCAAAGGGTATGAACAGGTAGTTTTCAAATGAAGTAATCAAAGCTATCTATAGTCATATGAAAAAATGCTCTAAATCACTATTGATTAGAGAAATGTAAATTAAAACAACTCTGAGCTACCATCCCATACCTATCAGATTGGTTAATATCACAGAAAAAGGAAAATAACAAATGTTGGAGGGGATGTGGAAAAATTGAGACATTAATTGGTGAAGTAATATATTGATTCAACCATTCTAGACATCAATTTGGAACTATGCCCAGTGGGCTATAAAATCATGCATACCCGTTGACCAAGCAATACCACTACTAGGTCTGTATCCCAGAAAGATAAAAAAACAAAAAGGAAAAGGACCTAACTGTGCCAAAATATTTATAGTAGAATTGAATATAAATATATATATATATTTATAAATATAAAATATTTATAGTGGTGGCAAAGAATTGGACATTGAGGGGATGCCCATCAAGTGGGGAATGGCTGAACAAGTCACTGTATACAATTGTGATGAATACTATTGTGCTAAAAGAAATGACAAGCAGGATGCTCTCAGAAAAACCTGGACTTACATGAAGTGATGCAAAGTGAAATGAGCAGAATGTGGGGAACATTGTATACAGTAATAGCAATATTGTATGATGATCAACTGTGAATGACAGTTATTCTCAGCAATACAATGATTCGAGACAATTCTGAAGGATTTAGGATTAAAAAAAAATACAATGATTTCTACCTCTCCATAAAGAACTGATAGAGTTTGAATGCAAATTGAAGCATAATTATTCTTTACTTTATTTTTCTTGGATTTTTTTTGTCTGTGTTTTCTTCCACATGACTAGTATGGAAATATGGTTTTCACGACTGCACACGTATAATCTATACCAAATTGTTTGCCTTCTCAGTGAGAGGGGGAAGGGAAGGAGGGAAGGAGAGAATTTGGAACTCAAAAATTTTTTAAAACAAATGTTAAAAATTGTTTTTACATGTAATTGGGGAAAAATAAAATTTAAAAATTTTTAAAAAGAAAAAAAGCCTCTTGCCTATAGTCAAGTGTCAATGTCAGAGTGGGTATTCTAAACAGGGTACACTCTTTCCATTCTACCAAACTGTGCTGGAAAAAAAGAGGGATTAATGAAAAAGGGGTCCAACAAAGTTAGAAGTAAGCCTTAGGTGAAGAAGGTGAACCTGAGAACTTCCAGCTAAGAACAGTAATCAAATAACAATCTGTTAGGCTGGTCTAGTTTTCTTCCTCTAAAACAAGTGTTCTTAACCTAGGTCCATGAACATTGAAAAAAAATATTTTTTTAAATAACCATATTTCAATGTATTTGGCTTCCTTTATAATCCTATGTATTTTATGTTAGGCATTTAAAAACACAATTTGAAGACAGGGTCCATAGGTTTCACCAGATTGACTGACCAAGGAGTCCAGGAACATAAAAATGGTCAGGAGCTCCTGCTCTAGAAAAGTAAGTATTTTCACCAACCTTGCATTGGAGGAAGGGGGAGAGACACTGCTTGAGCAGTTGAGGTTTCCAGTCTTACGTTCTCAGAATGAATATTCAGAACTTAACAAAGTTATAACCATAAGACAAATCAAATCAAAGAAAAAGATTACACAATTCAGTGGGGTAGTGGCTAATAACAATCACCTAGCTCACAGGGCTGTAGTGCGGAACAAATGAGATCATGTGTAAAATGTGCTTATATAAATGCTAGCTATTGCTATAATTTTTAGTCTCCCACCCTTTACCAAGTTTAGGGAAGGGGCAGTTGGAGAATGAGGGTCTTGTTCATTCTGGGGTGGGCCTGGGGTATGGAAGTTTGCTTTGCTTGTACTTTGCATGTTTGTTATAAGAATTTTATTTTCTTTTTCTTTCTTTTTTCCAGGGTAAAAGGTGGAAGAAGGGAGAGAAGATAAATGTCTTTTAGCTGGAAAAAAATTCAATTGAAAAAAGAAAAGAAAATAGAGGAGAGGAGAGAGGTAGGCTGAAAAAAAATTAATTAAAAAAGAAAAAAAAGGAGAAGAGAGGCAGGCTTCTCACCGTGCTACTTCGGACATCTATGTTGGGGAATTTCTTGCTGATGTATTTGACAGATGATTCCATGGACTTTTCCAGGAGAAAAGGTGGCTTGGATTTAGGATCTGAACAAGTCTGGATAGAAGAAAACAGAGAGGGTCTCTACCAGTCCTCTGACCAGCTAGAAGCATCATTCTGCCTGCCTCATTTATCCTTCCAATCCCACTATAGGAAGGAGGGATCTGAGAATTATTCCCTTAGGACTGGCATCAGAGGGCTGGCTAAGCTGGCTGGCCACAGAAACATCAGAGCATGGGAGGTGCCCAAAGTTAAGAATTGCTCTCTGCTTGGCCCAGCACAAAGAGGAAGCTAAGCTAACTAACACCCCTAACCAAGGCCGGAAGGAACAAGGAAGGCAGTCAGTCAGCTTGGTAGGCCTACAGCTAAAGTAGATTTGGGGAGAAGTTCAGTAACAGAATTTGATTTCTACAGCACCATCTCCTCCACAAAGGGCACTATGGGAGCCATGGGTCAGAAACTCACTTATGGACAATACAATTAATAGCAAAATGCATAAAACTCTTCCCTGCTCTTCTCCTCCCTGGCCCCCCCTCCCCCCATTCTCTTTTCTCTTCTCCCCCACCCCTGCCCTTCTCTCTTCACTGCCCATCCTCACCCCTCTTTTGTTCCACTTAATATCCATCTAACTCATTGCTCCTATGTCCCCCACATATTAGTGTGGGTTATCTCAGCCAGGAGGGGAAAAATGTATTTATCTGTCTCAAAAGACATTACCCTTCTCTACCCAGGCAATAGGTTCTCCCCTCTGCCCAGCTCTTCCATGATAAGGTCTCAGTTGAGGAGTCTATGTCAAATATCAGTATGAGGGTGAACCCCAGGATTCTGGTTCAAATACTTTCTCCAAGAGGCTCAGAATATAATTTTTGCTTCTGACCTAGCAAAAAAATACATTCTCACCATGGTATCAATCATAAAATCATACATCTACAAAGCTGGAAGGATTCCCAGGGGCCATCTAGTTCAACCCTCTCATTCTTCTGATGAGGAAATACACACATACACACACACACACACACACACACACACACACACACACACACGAAAATTAAGTGATTTTTCCCAAGGTCACCTGGGTAGTAATTGAGGCTGGATATTAACATGGACCATCAGACTCCAGAGTTAATAGGGGATTGTACCATGGTACTTCTCCCAATGATCAGTGATGAGAATCAGACTAAGGAAAGAGGGAACTTGAGGAGGAACCCACCCATCTGGCCTCCCCCTCATGCTAGAGGACTCCAATCTCCTCCAGTCCTTTAGCTGTGGCTAGAGACCATTCAAATGGGCAAAAAGCAAGGGTTAGTGTAGGAGAGTAAGCACTAACCACTGAACTTGAGGGCCTCAGGACAACAGACTGACCCTGACCACCCTTGGCTGGCCCTAGAACCCTGAAGGTCAAATCCACCCGGTTTCACTTACCTTCTTGATGTTATAAATTCGAATGAGAACCCCTCGCCCACGGTCATTTAGAATGGTGAGCTTCTCAGTCAACTTATGCTGGTAGCAGGAGGTCATCGACATGATGACCGCTGAGCTAGGAAGGATTTCTCGCTGTAACCCTGATCACTAGAGTCACCCAAAGACTCTGGGTGGGGAGAGCTGATTCGTTTGGTGAATCTGTCTTCCTGCTGCCTTTGTGATTGGCTCTAGGGGTAAAAACCTGTCATAGTTCACAAGCTCTGAGAGCTTTCTCCTTCCTTTTTGTAAATTCACCCCCAAGAGACTTCCCCTTTCTGGCCTTTCAGCGTTTGTTTGGGGTGGGGTGCAGGGAAGAGGGAGAACACCCAATTTCCCATAAAACAAAATACAAAAACCTTGCCTGGCATTCAAAGCCCACAATCTGGTACTAGTCTAGCTCCCCAGCTTTAGCTCCCACTACTGCCCCACAGATATCCTCTTTTCCTGACCTATTTACTGTTCCTACCATACTCTAGTTTTTAGCATGATCCCTTCAACTAAAATGCCTTTGCTCCTCCCCCACAAACACACATAGATCACTCTACTCATCTCAAACCTACCAATTCTCTAAGGCCTTCCTCAAATCTAACTAATGCAGCTTCCTCTAAACTCCTCTGACATGTTTTGTTTAGCATTGATTACTTTCTCCTGGTTTTCCTCCTACTTATCAGACCATACCTACTGAGGTTCCTTTGATCTTCATCCAGTTTGCGCCCACTAAATGAGGATGTCCTCCCAAGGCTCTATCCTGAGCCTTCGTCCTTCTACGTTATTTCACTTAATAATCTCATCAGCTTCCATTGGTTCAATTATCTCTATATAGATGATTCCCAGATCTCCATATCCAATCTTAAACTCTCTCCTGAGCTCCAGCTACCTACTGAATATCTCCAACTGGATGTCTTTTAGATATCTTCTCAAACTCAGTATGTCCAAAATAGAACTCATCATCTCTCTCCCCCAAGCTCTCCCCTCTTCTTCCCAGTCACTCAGGTCCCCAGTCTCAGCATCATTCTCTCTCATATAAGACAGCATATCTAATCAGTTGCTAAATCTTGTCCTTTTTTTTTTTTTTGCTTTTGGAGACAATTAAGGTTAAATGACTTGCCCAGGATCATTCAGGTCCTCCTGATTCCAGGGTTGGTGCTCTATCCACTTTGCCACCTAGCTACCTCATCCTTTCTTCCTATTCGTCCCCGAGTCTTTTTTTTTTTTTTTTTTTTAGGCAATTGGGGTTAAGTGACTTGCTCAGGGTCACACAGCTAGTAAGTGTCAAGTGTTTGGTCTGAGGCCGGATTTGAACCCAGGTACTCCCAACTTCAGGGCCAGTGCTTTATCCACTCTGCCACTTAGCTGCCCCTTTCCCCGACTTTTATCACTCATAGGGCCACCACCCTAGTTTATCACCTCTCAACTGAATTACTACCATAGCTTTCTAAATGGTCTCCCGGCCTCAAGTCTCTTCCCATTCCAATCCATCTTCCACACAGCTACCAAAACGATTTTCCTGAATCATGCGTCTGACTCTATCACTCAATAAACTCCAGTGGCTCCCTATGACCTCCAGTATCCAACATAAAATCTTCTGTTTGGTTTTAAAAGCTCTTCACAACCTGATCTCTTCCTACTTTTTCAGTTTTCTTACACATCAAACCTCTCCATGCCCTCCACAATCCAGCTAGACTTGCCGACTTGCTGTCCCTCTTGCACAAGGGACTCCATCCACCATATGGATACCTTTGCACTCTGGCCTCCAGGCTTACAGTGCTCTCCTACTCATCTTCACAGAGTCCCTAGCTTCCTTCAAGAAGGAAGACCAAATCCCCTTTCAGGAGGAGGCCTTTCCTGGTTCCTCCAGTGGTTAGTGCCTTCTGTGGTTATCTTCCATTTACACTTCATAGATCCTGTACTATCCAGTTGCTTGCATCCTGTCTACCCCATTAAAAGCTGAACTCCTTGCCTTGCAGATGAAAACTATATTTTTGCATTTCTTTGTATCTTCAGACATTAGCACTACTCCTGGCACAAAGTAAGTGCTTAATAAATGCTTGTCCGTTCCTCTTAAGAAGTGACAAATTATAAACAAAAGCAAGTTACATGTGCTGTCCCCCACCCCCACTGTATTGCCAGTTTTGCCTTTTTTTTTTTAAGAGAAGGTAGTATGTGTGTGGGCAACTAGATGGCGAAGTAGATAGAGTTCTGGGCCTGGAGTCAGAAAGACTCATCTCCCTGAAATCAAATCTGGCCTCAGACACTTACGAGCTTTGTGAGCCTGGGCAAGTCACTGAACCCTGTTTGTCTCAGTTGCCTCATCTGTAAAATGAGCTGGAGAAAATGGCAAACCACTCCAGTATCTTTGCCAAAAAAACCAAACAAACAAACAAATGGGGTCATGAAGAGTCCAACACCACTAAACAACAGCTATATAGGTGTGCAGCAGGAGATGGCTTTTCCTAAGATATTACACAAGGAAATCTCTATTTCATTCCCTGGTTTTCCCAGGAAGTTTCATTTGTTTGTTGTTTTGGAGAGGAAGGGAAGGGATAGATCTTAGGAAAAATTAGGAAGTTGGCCAAATTTATTTTCAGTTTTACCTTCCCTAGGCTCAGGGGATTAATTCGATCTTGGGGAAAACTCATTCACACTAGGCTATTAGGAACTTAATGTGTTTTCCCTCCCAAGGGCATTTGGTCTTTAAAAGAGCAGTCTGGAAAGAGTAATACATAATATAAAGGAATGAATTACTAATGGAAAAAAGGCAGACAGCAATGAAGGATAGCCTTTGTTTAGTTGGGAAAAGAAGGGGGCATAGGGAAGAGGGAGAGAGAAGGGTCTCTGTGACTTTCTTATAAGTTTACTCTGTCGTGATTTTAAGGGTCTATAGGATGGGGCAGCTAGGTGGCGCAGTGGATAGAGCACTGAGGACCTGAGTTCAAATTCGGCCTCAGATGTATAACATTCACTAGCTGTGTGACTCAGAGCAAGTCACTTAACCTCAATTGCTTCACCAAAAAAAAAAAAAAAAAAAAAAAAGGCTATAGGATTGGGAAAATCATAGGATCAGGTGCATGCATGCCATTAGAAAGATTGGAATCACCTGCAATCTCAGGCAGGCCTAAGGGGAGGTGCTAGGGTAAGCACATCCCGAATGGAGATATTTCACTGGTTTTCTCCTTAATGAGGGATAGGATAAAAAGAGGACTGAAGCGCTCTTAAATTAGGAAGTGGACAGCACCAATAAGATTAGCCTTTCTTGTTTAAGGTGAGTGGGGATTTCCTTGAAGACTTTGGAATACCCTTTACTATATCCTTTTTCAAGGCCTTCCCTGGCCTTGTTTCTGCTCGGGATGGCCCTGGCTCCCTTCTGCCTTGCCTCCTCTTCTCCACCACCAGTCTCTTCACTAATCCAAATCTACCTTCCTTCCAACCTTCAAGGCCCAGGGTACTCCTGCTTCCTCTAAGAAGCCTACTTTTCTTGATCTTCATCAATCTCTGTCTCTTTTAATGCTCTACAAGATTCAGTCTATAACTTCTACCTTCAAGTGTAATCATGTTTCCTTCATTTGTTTCATCTGTCTAAAGGGTAACCTTTTTGAGGGCAGGGACTGTGTCTTTATATTCCTGTTTCCAGTGCAATGTGCTAAACACATATAAGGGGTTTTAATGATGTTTGTCTTCTGAATGTTTTAAAGAAGCAAGCTTAATTCTCAGGGGTTCTTAACCCAGGTCTATTAACTTTTTAGTCTTTATTAAATATTTTGATAAACTGTATTTCAGTGTAATTGGTTTCCTTTGTAATCCTATGTATCTTGTATGTTTAAAAACATGATTCTGAGAAAGGGGGTCCTTCCATAGACTTCACTAGATTGAAAAAGGGGTCAGTGTCACAAAACTAAGCTAAAAATCAAGATGCAGCCAGAAAAGGCTCTCTAATGAGAGCGGTAAAGTCAAACCGCTAATCACTTACAGGAGAAATCATGGATTCTGTGATCAGGATGGAACAGTTAAGGTAGAATTGAGGTCAGGACCATTTTTCACTCCTCTGAAGGGCAGCTAGACATCCCCATTTTCTCTTCATCTGCCTGTCTCCTCCTTTCTTGCAGAAGGATTTTTAATTGCTGAGTGGCCCTTCCCCTTGAATTCTTGACAATCAAGGCAGATTACTTCAAGAATTAGGTGAGTCTCTTACCTAGTTAGTGGGAGTGGATATGGCTGTCAGAAAGACGTAATAAGGAAATAATAGCATTTCTATAGCACGTCAAGGCTTAGAAAGCACTTTCCGTATATTAAATCATTTGTTCACAAAGTTATGAAGTCTGGAATACTCGGCTTTAAGAAGCCTTCAAATAGTATGCCCAAGATCCTCTATTCAGAGTAATTAGGGAAATGATTAACCAGTTGGGAAATTAGGCTCTAGAACTCACTCTCAGTTTAAGAAATTCCTTAATTACTAAAACCTGGTTCAAAGGATGGACAGGTTTTTTTTTTTTTAACTTTTAGCAACTTCATTTTAAAAAAAAGCCACCTTTTATCCAAACTACATTTACTGTGATTCTCAAATTATCTACAAGTCTTGGAAGAAGGTTGGTACTTTGGTAAAAACTGAATTTGTAGTGGGGAGTTCCTAGGTTGAAATCCCAGCTCTTACCTGTATGACCATGGGATGGTTATCTTCCCTCTCTGGGTCTCCTTTTCTTCCCTTATAAAATAACTCTATGATCTGATGCTCTGACAACTAACTCTTAAGTTAGTATAGGATCACTGACAGCAAGATTTAATAGTGTTCTAGAATACTTAGTAAAGCTGTCTTTCTGTTTTTCAGAGGTCCAACTACCTTTATGTGAAGCACACAGTTCCTGGCTCTAATCTGATCATTAAAATTCAAGGTAAGCTTTGAACAGAGGCACTGGCTTGTGACAGTGTTTCCTAAGAGGCACCTGTGCCTATATCCCTGGATTTAATCACTTAGGTGGCAGATGTGCCTTCGGGCATTTGACAACCTATCTCTATGCCCTCTGCCAGCGCCCCAGGCCTAATATAGAGCCAATCTGGAATAAACTTGACCTCCTCCCTTCCCATGGTTCATGGCTGGTTTTCTTGATCTGTATTTTCAACAATCCTGGCCTGCAGCTGTTGCCTGGGTAACTTGGGAGTCCTTGA